GAGTGTGCTAGCGGGTGCTAGCAAGTAATTCCAGAATAACTCCCAGTGGTCTTCGCTGGGAAGTTCGCCAGGCGAACGAAGCAGCGAAGGTTCGCCAGAGGCTTCGCCAGGCGAAGGTTGGCGAATGCGACTGCATTTTCCTGTTTTCTGTGTTTTCCCTTCCCACGCGGGTCTCTTTGTTCGGTTATGTCTAATCCTTATTTGAATGGATAGTTTGTGTGTTGTTGTGATATGACATGTTGGGGTATCCGTGTGGCGTGAATCCTAGGTTGTGAGTCGTGGAGTGTGAAACATGGTCATTTGGCAATTTTATGCATTTGTCTGAATTGTATAGAAATGCATGATGGATGAATATGAATGTACATAGATTGTATATATCTGTATGAGATGAATATGCATAGTGATATATTTGCGAATATGTATGCATGTAGAGAAATGTTGTGAGTCATTTTACATAAAAGGCATGATGATGTACATTCTAGCGATGTCGATTCCTTGGAGAATATGTGGTAATATGTGATTCCTTAGAGAATCTGTGTAATATATGATTCCTTGGAGAATCTGTTAGGTAATTTGATTCCTCGGAGAATCTGCTGAATATCCGATTCCTCGGAGAATCTGATGAATATTTGATTCCTTGGAGAATCTGCTGAATGACTTGATTCCTCGGAGAATCTGCCGAATAACTTGATTCCTCGGAGAATCTGCTGAATAAATTGATTCCTCGGAGAATCTGCCGAATGACTTGATTCCTCGGAGAATCTGCCGAATGACTTGATTCCTCGGAGGATCTGCTGCGTGATATGGTTCCTGGGAGAACCTGTTGAGTGATTGTGTGCCCGTGTAGGGAGATAGTGATATGGTTCCTAGGAGAACCTGTTGAGTGATTGTGTGCCCGTGTAGGAAGATTGCGATATGGTTCCTAGGAGAATCTGTTGAGTGATTATGTGCCCGTGTAGGGAGATAGCGATATGGTTCCTAGGAGAATCTGTTGAGTGATTGTGTGCCCGTGTAGGGGGATAGCGATATGGTTCCTAGGAAAATCTGCTGAACGATCGAGTCGTACCGTATTGAATTGCATAGAGTCGTGAGTCGGTCTCTATGAGTTGCATTTACCATCGTTGCCATTGTACATTGGGAAATGAACATAATATGTGTATGTTATGTGAACTGATATGAATTGGGACGAAAGACATGATTGAATATGCTAAATGATATATGTATATGTGTAGATATATGGATATGTTGACATTTATGTGAATCGGTGTTGAAATAAACATATTGTGTGTGTTGCTTGATAAATGTTGTAATGCATGTTGTATGTATGCCATTGTAAGTGAAGAATGCATGAAAATATATTACGAACATATGTGCATTTCTTAGTAAATTATGATGATGATCTTGAAAATAATGAATGCGTATAAGGCTCGTGAACACTGGGGTAGAATGATATGATGTCGTTCCTAGTGGAGCAATCACCGGGGTAGAATGACTATGTGTTGTTCCTGGTGGGGTATGAGTGATGTACCCATAAATCCCGAGCGGGAATTGGTGGAATTGATGGGCTTTATGTGAGCCATATGGCATGGATAGAATTGTTGATTAAAGTTATGCTTACATATGTCTACATGACTTGTGTAATTGAAAATGATGAATATGTGAATGTTAGAAGAAGTGTGCATATATACATGATATGTTGATTTAAGAGTGGTGAGTATGTCAGTGTTGTATAAAAGTATGTTATTGCATGATAATATGTTTGATGATCAACCATGTTAGTTTATATGATGAGGTAATTGAGAAGTATGTGTGAATTGAATATGAACTGTGGTGAGAAGTGTGGCATATATGTATTTTATGATTGTTTATATACATAATTATATGCATTGATTATTATGGTAATATTTCTCACCCTTCTGCTGGAATGATGTCCTACATGACATCGTGCAGGTATTTCAGAGTAGAGCTGCTTGTAGTCTCGAGGCCGCTATTGGTGTAGCTATTTAGCGATTTATTTATGTTGGATCGAGTCATGCTCTGGTCGTGTAACACTGGGATCGCTTGGTTTATGTTTTGAAAATATACTATGTTTTCTTGTTTATTGAAATAATAAGAAGTTGGCCTTAGTGCCCGAGCCTTGTTGATTTATGTGATGAAAACAAATATTTATTTTATGAAAGATCATTGGATAAATGAATCCGCTGCTACATGCTAATAGAAATTGTAAAACATGATTATTTATTGAAGTGTTTGATGAGCATGACAGGTGTTTTGAAAGTTTTAAGTGTGACACCCTTGGTTGGATGCATGTTAATTTTACTCTGATTATTTTAATTAATTGCGGGGATTAGAGGGGTGTTACATTAGTAACAATAGAAAACTCGTAAGCAAAGAAGAAGACAAATTTCTTAAACCCGCATGCAGCGAAAATAAGATTATTAGCTAAGGAACTTCCGATATGCATTTCCACTACAGTGAACCACGTGATCTACCATATTCGGAAGTGTGAATCGCACCACCAATGATCAAGATTTCATTGTGGGTTGTTTCATAGTACTTGAGCATCCTAAGACAAATATGGTATCATTATCATCAGAAATAGAGACACGTTAGAACTTCTCTACGAAACATTGTAGATCAAGAAAAAAAACATTTAATGAAATTGTTCTCAATGCTAGTGATGTCCCTTCAAGACTCTTCACTCACTCCAATTAATCGTTGACCTAAAGGTGAACATAGCAAAACCCTCATTCCATAACATAGGAATAAAAGTTCATGGGTAATTTATTTTGGATCGTTCGTAAAGCCCAAGAGCGAACCTCGAATTAAAAGAGCGAACATAACAGGTACACATTTGTTGGGCCAGAAGTAGACAATTTTGCATTTCAGCGCATCAATCATCGTCCGACACAATTTGACGGTTCTTCGCATTAGGGGTGTGCAAAATAATCAATAACCATAAACTAAATTCCTATCCAAATTAATCCAAATTTTAAAATCCAAACCAAATTTATACTTTAAATTTGGTGGTCCATTTATCAAATTAAAAAAAAACCGGTAACCATTTGTTCCAAACCGGTTTGAGATTTGGTAACCATTTTTCAATGAATAGTTTGAAAAAATCAAATCAACACAAATTTCAAAAACCTTAATCCTCACAATCCAAATTTTATTTATCTCTTTCTTCTTGAGAGAAACCGGTTTTTTTAAAAGAGAAGATATAATTTCTTATAATACAATTATAAAGTATTAATTAAGTAATTTTAAATTTCTATAAATTAATTATAAATCAAAATTATAATTTAACATTTAAAATTAAATTTATTTATTTTATTTTTTAATACTTACAAAATCATTTTTAGAATTTATAGTATTAGTGAAATCACAAATATAAATTGACAAAAAAAAAATCATAAATATAGAGATTCAGTAATAGTGAAATCATAAATTTTAATTGTATAAATATTATTATAATTTTAAAAATCATTAATAATTATTTTATTTTTTTGCGTCATAAGTGTAGCATATAGTAGCAGTAGTAAGTGTACCATATAGTATAGTAGCAGTAGTAAAGAAAAGGTAAGCAATGAAAAAGATAAAATAAAGGACAATAGCTGTTGTCTATGCAACATTGCAATTTGCAATGCAATGCAATGCAACCTCATCCTTGTAATCCACTCGCGGGCAAACGTGAAGGAAGTGGAATACTTTGCTTTACACAATGTCAGATTTATCTATATTTGTGATTTTACTAAATTATAAATTCTAAAAATAATTTTGTAAATATTAAAAAATAAAATAAATAAATTTAAAGAGAGAATATTCTTTTTTTTAAAAGAATTTATCTTAATTTGTCATGATAATGTTTATTTGTTGTTGTTTTTTTTTAAATGTTAAGTTATGATTTGGTCTATAATTAATTTATAGAAATTTAAAATTGCTTAATTAATACTTTATAATTGTATTATAAGAAATCCTCAAAAATTTTAATTCTCACATTCTTTTAAAAAAATTGGTTTTTTTTATAAAATTAGTTTTAAAACTGATTTTTTTAAAGAAAATGAAAAAATTGGTTTTGAGAGAAACCCGTTTAAAATTGGTTTTAAAAAAAATGGTTTTTTTCTTTAAAAACCGGTTTGAAACCAAACCGATCCACTTGTAAATCGGTTTTAAAAAAATAAACCGGTTTTATATAAATGGTTTTAAGATCCAAACCAAACCATACATGTGGTTTGGTTTGGTTTATAATCCATGCACACCCCTACTTCGCATAACACGTCGAATCACACTTGGATGGTTTCAATCGCTCTTGATATATAAGTTGAAATGGTCATTTCAGATATTCAAATACATTCTCACTCACGCATTACTCCTGATTTCTCTCATTGACTTGAACATTGAAGTGTTAACTTTGCAGATTCATCTCGTTTCTTTGCATCAAAAGTATTGTGATCCTTCTCGCTATGTTGCATCAAAAGTATTGCTCCACAACATAAATACACAATTTCATCAACTCATCTTTTATTTGTAGTTCCTAATCCAACAAAAAGAAATACATAACAATGGTGGAGGATGAAATAATCAAAGTCTAATAGATCTTGAAAACGAAGTTACCGTTGTAGAGATAAAAATCAATTTTACTAGAAAAAAAAAATTCAAAATATCAAGGTGTGTGTTGAAGTCTATATTGATTTTAAAATTATGTTTGATTGTCGTTTTATAATGGCGGGGTGAAATGAATTAAGTAAGCATGTTGCCAATTACAATATCAACTTTTGACGGTATTTCAAATAAACTATAATTCAGTGAGTACAGCCGCCATTGATTCATGGAATAAATTCAACTTTGGTGAGCCAACATTACTTGAATGATTTGAATGGAAGATAAAGCCAAATTAAGTGAAATTGAAGTCAACACCTCTCTTTCAATATCAAAAACTATATCAAGCTCAACAAATTACGTAGCACTTTTCATCAACAACAACAGTAACAAACTTAACAATGGCGAAAAATTGCTTCGACCTCAAAACGATGACGTATTACTCACCAAGACAACCCATCCACCTTCCCATCGATCCCAATCTCTCTCTAACTTCCTTCCTCTTCCAATCCACTTCCTCCATAGCCGAAACCATCGCCCTCGCCGACGCCCAAACCGATGACTCCCTGACCTTCCGCCAACTTAAAGCCCAAGTCACCGCCCTCTCCCGCTCCTTACTCCGCCTAGGCATCCAAAAAGGCGACGTCGTTTTGCTATTTGCACCTAACTCCATACGTTTCCCTGTCTGCTTCCTCGCTATAGCCGTCATAGGTGCTATTGCCACCACCTGTAGTCCTTTATACACCGTCCCCGAACTCTCCAAGCAAATCCAAGACTCCAATCCCAAAATCATCGTTACCGTATCGGCGCTTCTACACAAAATCGAACCATTACCTTTCGATATACCTTCAATATTGCTTGACGATGCTTCAACCAGAGTACTTTCCTCCAAAATATTCAGTTCATTGGTTTGGGACTTCAAGGATCTTACCAGAGAGTCGTCAAACAAGAGCCCTGACGAGATTCATGCAAACGGTGTCATTTCGCAATCCGACGTTGCGGTGATCCTATACTCTTCAGGAACCACCGGAAGAAGTAAGGGAGTGATGCTGACTCACCGAAACTTCACTGCAGCGGCGTTGGCGGGAGTGGCGGATCAGGAACACTACGGGGAGGGGAAGAATGTGTTCTTATGTTTGGCGCCAATGCATCATGTGTTGGGATTGGGAATGATAACGTACACGCAGCTTAGGAGAGGGAATATGGTTGTATCAATCGATAGATTTGAACTGGAGAAGACTCTGGCAGCGATCCAAAAGTTTAGGGTGACACATTTGTACGTTGCTCCGCCGGTGATGATGGAGCTGATCAAGCGGCATCATGTTGTGAGCAGTTATGACTTGTCTTCGCTGAAACAACTTGCCGGCGGTGCTGCTCCTTTGGGGAAAGATGTGATGCAAGACTGTGCTAAGATTCTACCCCAGGTTGAAATCATTCAGGTATAGTTAAGAAAAATATACTACTTGTCACCCACTATTTTTGTATTTGATTGTGATATGAATACATGATATGTGTGATAATTGTGGCAGGGTTATGGCATGACTGAAGCATGTGGACTAATTTCCTATGAAAATCCAAACGAAGAATGGTTCGTTTCTGGTTTAGGATCAACTGGAACACTAGTTCCAAACGTAGAATCCCGAATTGTTAGCTTGGAAACATTCAAGCCTCTTCCACCTAATCAATTAGGTGAAATTTGGTTTAGAGGACCTATTATGATGAAAGGTAAGATTGATCTATTACTTATCCAGTTTGCATTGAGATTAATTTGATTCTGATTAGAATCTTATATTATTTTCAGGATATTTTAACAATCCAGAAGCAACAAAACAGACCATTAATGATGAGGGTTGGCTGATTACCGGAGATCTTGGATATTTTGATGAAAAAGGGCAGCTATTTGTTGTGGATCGAATAAAAGAGCTTATCAAATGTAGCGGATATCAAGTATGATACAAGTTTATAACATATAATCATAGATGAAATAAGAATGTCGTCATTGATTTTGTACCTAAATTAGGATATTAGCAAATTTAGCATACTAAACAAGCAGATACTCTAATGCTCATTTCCATTATGCAGGTTGCGCCCGCCGAGCTTGAAGACTTACTGGTTTCTCACCCTGAAATTTTTGATGCTGGGGTGATCCCGTAAGTCATATTTTTCATGTAGAAACTATACACATTAGTTTCTTTTATGAGCATTCACACTATTTTACTTACCACCTCATTTTTTAAAGAAATAGTATTGACTCATATGGGGACTTATTGGTGTCAATTTCCAAATCAGATCCCCTGATGCCAAAGCTGGTGAAGTTCCGGTGGCTTTCGTAGTTCGCTCACCCAATAGCTCGATAACCGCAGAGGACATTCTGAAATTTGTAGCAAAACAGGTCATTTAAGTATATTCATTAGGAGAATCCTTGCTATGAATTATACTTTATCAAGTGAAGAAGTAGCTAATAAACCCTGTTGTTTTCTCAATTGCTTCATTTCCTTTGTCCAGGTTGCACCATACAAAAGGTTGAGGCGAGTGACTTTTATTGAGAGAATTCCAAAGTCGCCCACCGGAAAGATCTTAAGAAAGGATCTTGTAATTTTGGATAGACAAAAGACATCAAAGTTATAGGGTATTAATGCCTTGCAAGACTCTGATCTACACATTGTGGAGATAAAAAAACAGATGTGAAGGTTTTGGGCTCTGCATAACATGTAGTAACACGGGTAATTAAGATATGTTTTCACGAAGGAGTGTGCTATATGTTTTCTGGTCGTAGAAAAATAAAAGAGTTATGCACTGAGCACCCATATTTTTTAACTCAAGCATATATATATAACCGAAACCGTACTTTATAATTAAATAAATGCAAAGTTCTCAATTCTCAATTCTTATTGAATGGTGATGCTAAATCTGTCTGTACTAATTTGAGAATAAATAATAATTTGAGAGAGGATCCAAATCCATAAATAAAACTTCTAGTAGTCTAGTTAAACAAGTTCAATTAATAGATGTGCAGACATATTTTGTCCATCAAATGTCATGTTATGACATTTATATTCTCAAAATTTTGGTAATGCACAAAATGGAGAAGAGAGGAAATGAAAAGGATCTTGACTCCTTTTAAATATACCTCACACCTTCCAACTTTCCATAATAAAAAAAAAAAATTCTTGCAAATTTTTCAATTAAAAATATTGCACGAATAACTCAGTAGTTAAAGTTAAAAATGTGGTATGTATAAAAAAATTCGCCAAGTCAGTAAAATTTCTTGTATGTATTTTTTCTGATTTTTATTTAAAAAAATATACCTTTTTTTTAAAAGACCGTGAATTTCTAGAGTTTTCTCAAAATCATAAAAAATCTGATAGTGTAAAATCACTTGTTTTTTTTTTGGAAAAGATCATGCATTTATTGGATATTAAAATTTTCGACAGTTTAAATTTGCAGGGTTGAGATATTGCTGATAATTTTGTACGGCTGTGATTGCATTGACAGTTATGTGTGGTTCATAATGAATTACAACTTCTATAAATAGGAATCATGTATTGTTAGTGTCGCGGCGAAAAAAATCGTTGAAATTAAACTATTGATTAATTTAATTCAAAAAGTAAGAGTCGTCACCGAACTTTATTGTTTTCAAAGAGAAAATGGGAAAGGTCGAACAAAATCCACAAAAAGCAAAAAGCTAAAAAAAAATATATCGGAATACGGAAGTTGGTTATGCACGGGGAAGATATTAGCATCCTCACATCTGTTGTATTCAACGGGAACCACTTGCATATTTGTGTTTATAAAATGTTGGAAAATGTCAATCATTTATGAGCATCTTGTAGAAGTATAATGGTTTCCATCATTACAGAAATATACTAATATCCAATATTTTGAAAAATGGTTTTTAGAGAAAAGTGCACATAGGCACAAAAATGAGTTTGATGAGGTTTTGTCTTTTTTAGAAGTTTTGAAAGAAGTTTGAATATGCTTAAGTGTTTTAACATTTATTGAGAAAAGATTTTTTGGATCACTTGACAAAGTCAAGGTTTATTAAGAAAAAAGTGTGAAGTTTGAAAACAAGAAGTTCTGAAATAGAGAGAAATTTTGAAAATTGAAGAAGTGGGAAGGAGATGAAGAGACTATCCTAAAGCATAAAGTAAATGGTTTCAACCGCTCTTGATATATAAGGGTGAAGCGCGTCATTTCAGATATTCAAATACATTCTCACTCACACATTACTCCTGATTTCTCTCATTGACTGGAACATTGAAGTGTTAACTTTGCAGATTCATCTCCCTTCATTGCATCAAAAGTATTGTGATCCTTCTCGCTATGTTGCATCAAAAGTATTGCTCCACAACATAAATACACAATTTCATCAAATCATCTTTTATTTGTAGTTCCTAATTCAACAAAAAGAAATACATAACAAGGGTGGAGGACAAAATAATCAAAGTCTAATGAATCTTGAAAACGAAGTTACCGTTGTAGAGATAAAAATCAATTTTACTATATAAAAAAAATAAAACTATCAAGTTGTCTGTTGAAGTCAATATTGATTTTAAAATATGTTTGATTGTCGTTTTATAATGGCGGGGTGAAATGAATTAAGTAAGCATCTTGCCAATTGCAGTATAAACTTTTGGCGGTATTTCAAATAAACTATAATTCAGTGAGTACAGCCGTCATTGATTCATGGAGTAAATTCAAAGTCCAAATTACTCCTAAGGTCTATGGTCCAAATTACTCCTCAAACAAGGGATAGTAACACAAATTTCAAAATATTAAATTAAAATTTTAGGGTTTTAACCATTTTATCATATTTTTGTGCATTTGAAATAAGAAAATAATTAAAAGGCAAAAAGTAAAAAGGAAAAATAAAAGGCAAGGATGTAAATGACAATGAATGTAAAATGATATAAAAGTAAAGACATAAAAATAATTGATATAAATGTAAAGAGAAAAAAAGTAAAATTTAGATGTTAGCACAATTAGTAACTCAATGTTAGTGTTAATGAGATTAATATTAAGTCGAGACAATTTAGTGTTATGTTAAGCAATCGTAAGTGGACTTATGTAGAAGTCACACATATTTGAGGCCGGTCAATAACAATTTATGTGTCAAACATTTTAGAGAAATAACACAAAGTTATTCTCCTAAAACAATGTAACAGAATAGTCAAACAAAAGAAAAAAATAGATGGAGAAAGAGAGAAATTGAGGCACTTATGTATGGGATCATTTATCAACAAGTCAAAGGCTCAAAGTATGATCAAACTAGGAATAACCTATCTTTGATGCAAAGTATCATAAATGATCAGATGATCATTTATAAGCAAGTATGTACTAGAGAATGTTGAATCAACCAATGGACCATCACTCAAGAATTTTAAATGTTGAGCACATGATCAACCAAGCAATCAATCAAAAGGAAAATAAAAAATATTCAAAAGTATAAATAAAAATAAAAATAAAATCATATAAAATGATTTTAAAAATGACTAAGTTTGAAATTAAAAGGAAAAATCCAAAAGAAACATCAAAAGGTAAAGTAAATGGTGAAGAAAATTATAAGAAGTTCAAAATATTGAAAATAAAAAGATCTCAAAAGTTGGATGCAAAAATATTTGAGAATGATAAAAAATAAATTTAAAATAGAAATTAAATGAAAAATAGAAGAAAATATGAATTAAATATAAAATGATTTTTTAAATTATGCAGAAAAATACACGTGATTTGGATCTGAAAATTCGTGTGAGCTAGGGTTGGAATTTTGATTTTGCCATCCGTGTGAAATGAGTGATGAAAAGCATGACTTGGACATGAAACCTGGTCGTTTGTGTTTTTTTGCACGCGTTTTTGGTTCACAAAGAAGTTTCACATTTGCTTGTGATCCCAGATTGAGATTGGAATGAAAACCATGACCTGAAACTTGTGTGGAGAACAGAGTTCATAACACCATGTTTGAACTTAGTCTGAATGGAATCAACTCGTGTGTTCTTGAATTTTCTTTGCATCAAATGATCTTCTCATGGAAAAGAATCAAATGTAAAAACAACCACATCAAAAGGATGCTTGGATTGAAAATGGCATTGAATCAAAGTTAAGGTCATGACCTGAAATTATGGGCTAAGCATTAGGTCGACTAGATCTTGGGCCTACTCTTGTACACACATGGGCAACTGAGAAAATCCAAAAATTGATAGACTTAGAAGTTGAGTTGATGTTTGAACATTTAAACAAAGTTTTAGAGTTCAAATGTGACATTTGGCTGAAAGTATATTTCAAAAATGTTGAGAAATGAGAAAGTTATGGGGTTTGAACCAAGTGGCATGTCATACTTGATTTTAGGTCAACCAAACATGTGCCAACTTGTAGTTTCTTGCCATTTGTTGTATCTAAAGGCCTATTTATGAACACTTGAACACCAAATGAAGGAAACTTGATTATCCTTTGAATATTCTTTGATGATTGCTTGAAAATTGGATGGAGATGGCATGGAAATAAACACATGAACCATAATGAATCACCTTTGAAATCGTGCATCAAACTTGAACTTCTCTTGATCCCATAATGTTGAATGAAGCTTGACATGAATATGACCTAAGATTATAGATCATGCTTTGAAGTGAAAGCTCTTGTGGACCACTTGTTGACCAAAACTTTTCCCTTGGGAATCCAAACACTAATTTCGAAACCAAGCTTGATCCATTGATTGTAAGTCCCTACATTGTACCATAAGAAAAAGGAAAAACACATATTTTTGTATTTTGAATAAGGTTAGCAATGTTAGCATATAATCAAGTAAAGAAAACATAAAGGTTCTTGGTGATCTCTCCCTAAAGGCAAACCTAAAGAGAGGGGGGTTAGGAGGATACCATGCTTGTGATCTTGCAAATGATATGATAGGTGGAATCTTAGGGGTAAAAATTAGTGTATGACAGATGCCCTATTTAAGTTTCTTCTATCCAAAGATATGAAGACTATAAATCTCCATATCAAAGATATTAAAGATATTTAAATACTGAAGACCCAATTTTTAGCCCTAAGATGTCACATGATGCTTTTGATATGAATGCAAAAGATACGAACTCTGCGGGTAAGACACTTACAGGGTGTACTCCGCATAGACGAACTATAACTCTGATATTACTGGAGAAAAACTTTAAAGCATCCCACCAGGGAGATATAACTCACTGGGGAGTGATACAACATTACGAGGGCCCATACTATGGAACAACCCAAAGTATGTCAAAAAATAAAGAGAGCTAGCAAGTGACAATGGAAGACTCCACTGGGGAACATGCAACAAGGGAAGAACACTAAGCTTATTAGGGAATCGACCCTAAGTAGTCAGTCAAAAAGGAATTACTATTAACTCATAGTTGATGGCAGTAAATAGGATAATACCGACTCATAGACGACGGTAGAGAAACAGGTAACATCGACTCATGGATGACAGTATACTACCAACTCATATATGAAGGTGGTGATAGGATTTGAATAGATGATAAACTTCCCATAACTTCTGATATTCCACCTGGAATGGGGCTCAGCTTCTTCTTTATCCAAGTCTTCCATCTGGAAAGGGTAATAAACCTCCCATGAAGTCGAATCTTCAACCTGGAACTGGTCTC